GTCGGGGCGGAGGGGAGCCTCAATTCTCCGGCATTACGCCATCGAAGAGGCTACCCCTCAAAAGCCCCCTGGCCTGGAGCCTATCGCAAAGGCTCCGCGGGGGTGTCACTTGAGGTGGCACCCCTCCAGGCCACTGGTGTGCGAATCACCCTCCTCCGTTGTGAGGAGAGCGTCCGTCATCGCTGTTTTATCGACCGGAAGTCCCCGAAGGCATCATTTTCAAACTGCAGGACAAAAAAGAAAAAATTGACTCTTTCCAAAGTGCATGAGTTCCTGAGACTGCAACTGGGAGAACCAGCTGAGGATGCTAAAGAAGAAGATGACAGCAAATCTAGCGGTAAACTGGACTCTGTGCCTTCCGGCAAGGATTCTGCTTCAGAAAAGTGGGCGGCTGCCCTAAACGAGAATACCAATTGAGGATTAGAAAAGATAAAGCAAAGTGAAGGCTGAAGGACTCTGAATGGTGCCTTAAAGCATGTGATATAAATGATGCTCTTGGGGTTGTCTTTAAAAATGGTCAAAAAATAAATGATTTAGCTTAATCAATTATGTTCAATGTAATGTATGCATTTTAGACTAACACTTATATAAGCTGATGTAATGATCTCCTATACTTGGGGTTTTAGTTATTAGTAGTTTTCTTTCCTTTCTCCTTAGATGTAGATGTTCCCTCCCTATTTTTTCGTTGTAGTTTGTAGTTCATAAAAAAAGCAATAAAAATCTCCTTTGGGGGGGCATAAAAAAGAAGAAAAAGAAATGGGATTTCAGTCTTTCTAGTATAGAGAATTTCTCTCCATGGTGAAAGAAATAATTCATTTATTGTCCATATTTCTCCTTTTTATTATTTCCTCCCTTTTAAAAAAAACATCAACTATGTCTTTTAACCCAGAGCACTTGAAAGAGTTGCAGAAGGAATATGGGAAACTCCAACTGGATGTATATCAGTTTCAGAAAAACCAGACTAACCTTCAGAAGAAATTTACATATGACATGTAAGTTTTCGCTGTGTATTATATGTGCAGTGTCTATAAGTCAAGTTGTTCATGTTAGGCTTCCATCTGAATAATTTTCTTGCACTGAACTTGTGAGTTCTAACAGTGGAATCCTATGCAGTTTCTGCAGTCTAAAGCATAGTTTTGTGTTATAAATCAACTTAAATTCAAGTAAGCTGTTTTAAGTATGTTGCTTTATGGGCTGGTGAAGTAAGCTTTTTGTTTTGGATACTGAACATTACCTGTGTGCAAGAAAAAAACTACAAGAGGCTGATAGAATTGCTTACTGTTCAAAGATACTTCCAGCCAGTGCTTCCTATGTCCTTGCAATGGTAAAAGAAATAGAAATATTAGTCCCAGAGAGGAAGAAAATGAGTTAAACAATTTGTAGCCCTCAAAGCCAAATCCAGCTTCCCCCCACCTCAGTACAGAGCAGGCTATGGGAGCTTGTGGATATTCATATTGGGGCAGTCTTAGATAACTAGCAGAAGCAGGGCAGCCTTTAGATATCTGGCAAGCTGCCTTACATAGGTGGTCAGTCACAACTTATACAGGCCTTGGTTAAAAGGAGGTATTTGAACAACCCTGTTTTGTTCTTTGGTTCAAGGTCTCAGTGTATCAGTCAGATGAAGGAACTGAAAGAACAATGTGACGAAAGGATAGAAGAAATTACAAGAAAAGGCAATGAGATACCACAAAGCAAAGAAAAAACCATGTCTGAAAAGCATTATCAGGTAAGATAAATATTTGCTTTTAAAGGATTACTGTTATACAGGTGGGGCGCGGACATCCTACCAGTTCATTCTGACCACTGTCATGTCAATAACCAGAGAAAAGTACTGAAGCGACAGCAATGGGGAAGGACCAGGCGGGTGGTGTGACTGCACAGATGACCACTCAAAGATCACCAGTTACAGGTAAGCAACCTGTTTATCTTCTTCATGGTCTCTGTGCATCAAATCTATGGGAGATTGAAAAGCAGTGTCTCACTTGGAGGTGGGAGCTGTCGCAAATTCAATGCTCTGCTGATGAAAGGATGAGACGACCAAGGTCCACTCTGTGGCGTTCACGAACATCAACAGCATAGTGCTTGATGAAAGTGTTTGGAGTAGACCATGTCGCAGCCCCACAGATCGCCGACAGGGGAGCACCTTTCAAGAAGGCTGTGCACGTAGCCATGGATCTTGTAGAGTGCGCTTGCACAGGCAAAGGCAACGGGCATTTAGCCAACAGGTAGCATAGTTTAATAGTCTCCACTTAGAGAGATGTTGCGCCGAGATTTTTTGTCCTGTGGAGTGACTGGAGTAGGAGACAAATAAGTGATTGTCCCTCCTACTTGAGCGTGTCCTGTTAAGATAAAATAGTAGCACCCTCTTAACATTTAGTGCATGGAGTAGACGCTGTTGTCCATCTTTTGGGTTAGGAAAGAAGTTTAGTAGGAAAATCTCCGAGCTAAGATGGAATTCGGAGACCACTTTCGGAAGGAAAGAGACGTCAGGAACTAATCTCACACCGTCCGGTAGGAAGACAAGGAAGGGTGGGTCATGACGAAGGGCCACGAGTTCGCCCACCCTCCTGGCCGAGGTAATGGCAACAAGAAAAGCAGTTTTCCACGCGGCAAGTTTCAGGTCGCAGGTCCCCATTGGCTCAAAGGGTCGTCCCATGAGACGGCGCAGCACCAGTGGCAAATCCCACAAGGGTACCGGCGCGTGGATTGGTGGATATAGGCGGAGGAGACCCTTCAGGAATGTCTTTGAGACTGGGTGCGAGAAGACAGAGAAGTCCTCGAAACCCGGATGGTAGGCGGAGATAGCAGACAAATACACCCTGATCGAGGAGTGCGAGAGGCCATTCTTTGCTAGAGAAAGTAAAAAGTCCAGAAACTGATCCAGCGTGATGGAGACATGCCTGAGGGCTGTAAAAAGGCCAGGAAACGAGACCATTTTTCCTTGTAGAAGCGTCTGGTAGAGTCCTTCCTGGCATTGAGTAATACATTTTTAACACTATTTGAAAAAGTTACGTCTCCACGAGATAAGCTGTTAGTTTGAGCTTGTGGACCTCGTGGAACGAAAGTGCTCCTTTTTCCGCCAGGAGCTGATCTGGCACCTGTGGAAGAGGGTATCAAGATTTGGTCAGGGAGAGGAGATTGGTGAACCAAGGCTGCCTGGGCCACCAGGAAGCAATCAGGATGCATCTCGTGTGGACCCTCATGAGTTTTTGCACCGTCCGGAGCAGTAGCGGGAGAGGGGGAAATATGTATAGAAAGTCCTCGTCCCATGGGTAGAGGAGCCCATCTCCCAAGGCCTTGGGAACTTGTGCTCCCCTGCAGCAAAATAGGTTGCATCTTGTATTGTGTCTGGTGGCAAACACATTGAAGTGAGGTGTACCCCACCTTTGGAACACGGGATGTAGGTAGGCCCAGTTCAGCTCCCAGTCGTGATGCTGAGAGAGACCCCTGCTGAGCAGGTCTGCATGTACATTGGCACTGCCCACGATGTGAGAGGCGATGGGAAATATGTGCAGAGGAATGCACCAGGCCCAAAGGTCCAGAGCTAGGCGACAGAGACTGCAGGAGACTGTTCCTCCTTGTCTGTTGATGTAAGTGAGTGCCGTTGTATTGTCTGTTAATACAGCCATGCATTTCCCCATCAGCAGAGGCTGGAAACAATGAAGAGCCAGCCTGATGGCCAGAAGCTCCAAAAAGTTGATATGATTCTTGGAGGTCAAAGCGTCCCACTTGTGCCCTACTGAGAGGCCATTGAGGTGGGCACTCCAGCCCCACAGTGAAGCGTCGGTTGTGAGAGTGAGGCCAGGAGTGAGGGGATGAAAAGAGACACCTTCTGTCAGATTGTCTGTCCGTGTCCACCAAAGAAGGGAGTCGCGTGCCTCTTGCGACGGGGAGAGACGAACTGACTGGGTCATTCGTAATGTTTTGAAGTGTCGTACGAACCAGAGCTGGAGTGGATGCATGTGTAGCCTTGTGAATGAAGGACTGCAGTTGTAGCTGCCATCATGCCCAGTAGGCGTTGAATTTGGAAGACAGATGAACTGTCTTGGAGCCAAATTTGTTGAGCAAGAGTAGCCAGAGTGAGGGCTCGGTCTTGGGGCAGGAAGGCTTTCCCTTGTATAGAGTTGAGTATTGCTCCTATGAATTGCAATCTTTGAGATGGAACCAGGTGTGATTTTTTGTAGTTGGCCCGGAGGCCAAGGCTTCGAAGGACCGCCAAGGCCTGCGACACTTGTTTTTCAGGCACCAGAGGCGTAGATGTGCCATGATGACCACCATCGTCTTGGTGAAGACCTGCAGTGCCGTGCTGAGACCAAATGGTAGACTCCTGTATTGGTAGTGGCTGCCCCCATCGCAAATCAAAGATACTTTCGATGGAAGGAGTGGATGGTTAGATGGAAGTAGGCATCTTCGATGTCGATGGCCAACCAGCAACCCTGGGACAGGAGTGGTAGAATGACCTGCAGGGATGTCATCTTGAATTCCCAGCATTGTATATAGGCGTTGAGGCCATGGTCTAAGATCGGTCTCTGCCCACCATCCCTTTTGGGTACCGCAAAGTATTGGGAGTAAAACCCGAGACCCTGGTGGTGTAGAGGCACAGGTTCTATGGCACCCTTCGATAAAAGCGTGGTTACTTCTTCAAGGAGGAATGACGACGGGGGTGTGGTGACTACCCCAGAAAGGAGTGGGAGCTCTAAAAACTTGATGGAATAGCCGGTGGTCAAGATGGAAAGGACCCATTGGTTCGAAGTAATGGCAGTCCAGGCATGTAGAAAAGGATAGAGACGGGTAGGGTCTGTAAGTGAAGGCAGGACCAAGTCAAAGGCCCTGTTTGTTTGATTTAGGTTGTTTTGGTCTGGTCTGTTGTTGTCCAGTACCATACCTTTGTCTGGGCTGATAGTGTTGTCTGCTTCCAGACGGAGACTGTTGTGGTTTGTAGCCCCCATCTGGTGATGGTTTATTGTATGGACGTCGAAAACTGTTCCGGGACCAAGATCGAGGTCAAAAAGGCTTAGAGGGACCAGAGACTCCTAATTACCTAGAGACCGGCAGAAAACTAGCTTTTAACAGCGCGGCAATCAGAAGAGAACTGGCGGGATGGCCGTGCCCCGCCTCCTTGGGCATGCGCAGTGGGGTTCCCGCGTGTGCCTGGGAGAGAGGCACGAAAATCCCATTGTGAGCTTTGTACATCACTGATTCGGATCAGCACAGGCGCATAATCCCATAGGTGTGATGCACAAAGACCATGAAGAAGATTTTGAAAGTTTCTTCTTTGAGAAGGCTGCTCTTCTGGGGAGATGGTTTTTATTAAACTCAGGTATAGTATTCTAATTCATCCAATTTGGCAGACTAGGATTGTTTCTAAATGAGCTAAAAGACAGTATAATTCAATAGCTGCCTAATCAATTTGACATAGGTGGCTGCATTTGTTCAGGCATGTTTAGGACCCCAATCTAATGGCGTGACTTAAACCGCAGTATTGTAGTCTTAGTACCAGTGCAATTGAAATGCAAGCTTGTACTCCTGAAGCAGATGAGCCCATCTCTTTACTCTCACACTGCATACAAATATCACAAACTTGTTTGTTTATGACAAACTTGATTTTGCGGGGGAAGACGAAAGCTTCAATTTATCCAGGTGCCCATATTTGGGTGCCATGACAAATTAAGAAGCCTTCATTCACACTTTGTGTGTGATGGCGGAGGGTGCATATGAGCTTGGACACAAATCTGGTTGATGGTTGTCATAAGCAGAGGTTTCTTAATGGTGTCTGAAATGTGTTGCAGTGGTAGTAATAGTAGTACAGTGTTACTCTAGCTTCTGGTTCTGTGGACATTGCTTGCTCATGCAAAGGTGAAACACTGACTTGGAACTACTGGTACAGGAGTACCAAAGACAGATGTTATGCCATCCATACAAAATATCAGTGACACTTTTTGCCTGCCTACTTCCTCTTTCTTTGGTGACCTAAGAAGAATCAGTTTGTGCAAAGCTTCGTTCTGATAACACAACCAAACCCGTGCAACCAATCTGGGGTTTTCAGAAAGTGAACCTGGCAGCTTCTTCATTCTCAGAATGGCTCCATGAGGGAGGAGATTGTTGCACATGATCTTGCGTGTATGTCATTGTATATATGAGCAAACTCAGAGGGGGCCGGAGATGTTGTACAGGGTCCTGTTCAATCCCTTCTATATGTGGAACTATGCTAAGAAGTTTTCTTCTTCTGTTTGTGCTTTGTTGGATCCAGCCCAATGTATGCAGTATACAGTGCCATAAACTACATCCCTTGTCCCTTAGTAAAAGCATTCTCCTGAACAATTCCATTTTACTGTGGCCCTATTCCCTTTATAAAAAAGCCCCCCTTGAACAACTCTGTTTTGCACATTCTGTGGAATTATAGAAATGCGGGAGACTTCCTGAAGTTTTCAGACTGTTCCACAAACTAGAAGCTGCAACAGAGAATGCTCAGGTACAGGCAGCTGCTCATGTTTCCTGTTTGCAGAGTAGCACCTTCAGCATACTTTGCTGTTGCAGCGGGGGATATTGAGAGAGTCATTCCTTAGATATGTTGGCCGTAGGCCACAAAGAGCTTTGTAGGTGATGTGCAGTACCTTGGACTGAATCCAGAAACTAACAGGTAACCAATGGAGCGACTGCAGAACAGGTGTTATATACTTACTCCATCGACCTCCTGATAGTAATCAAGCTACAGCATTCTGTACC